TGTCTATTAAATCACAGGAAGAATGTGATCACAAAAATGTCTCCGGAATGACAGCAGATGAAGAAAAATGGTGACAAACAAGACGAATTAGAGGTCAGCTGAGGACACCGCACTGTTTGAGGGAAGGAAGAGGGGAGAAATGGAGTGGCCATTTCAAAAAGTGACAATTAATCACAGTCGAGGAACCCTGTCAGGCCGAATTTGATTGAGAACGAGACACAGAAGAAACCTGCCCCACTGCGAAAAAAAACAAAAACAAAAAAGGCCAACCCAATTCTCCTGCGGAAAATGGCACCGCAGCAATCAGGGGTAATATAAGAGCCTCCTGCGAGAGCGGCGGAAAGCAATCTGGCGGCCAATGAGACGGTCTGCGAAGGAAAGTGGAATCCACCTGGTTTGCGCTAATCACACAGCTGTTCTGTATGTTAATGCCAGACAGAGAGAGCGAGACCGAAAATGGCAAGAGAATGAGCGAACGTCTGAAAACAAAGGAGACGGAAAAGGTTAAAAAGGCTGACCTTTTTCATCTGAGAGTAAGAACGGATCACAGCAAGGTCTAATCAGTGACCACTGATGCAAACCTTGAATCTTGTTCGAAATTAGTCAAAAAAAAAAAACCTTCGCGTTCGGCCTGGTTATCAAAGATCTTTTTAAGCAGCTCCGCATATACATTCGCACGCACGCGCACACACACACACACACACACACACACACAAACACACACACGAGAGAGAGAGAGAGAAAGGAAGTTGGACCGGTCAGCATCCCCCGGCTTCCTTTGATTCCCTAAAAACATTCCTATAAACATGAAACAAAGAGGCAAATCAAAAGGTAAATCACAAAGAGAAGGGCCTCGCCTATCAAACATGAAAAGATGTCTGGAACAAACAGAGCTGCAGGGAGGGTTGAGGGAACGTTACTGTTTCTAAACTACAACACTGATCACAGAAACGGGAAAAGTCCCTGCTGGGGTTTGACTGATCACGTAACGCCCTTGATTTAAAACTTATTCGCAATTTGTAGGCCAGCCAGTTTCAGCTATTTGAATGTTTAATGTATAGTTTTTCCCCTCCATCACAAAGTCAAAGTCATTTCAGCTCCATATGTCTGATACAAAACAAGTGGCGGCTACAAGAGAGGCAGCACACGCCACAGCGACGCCACAAAGCAGAGCCGAATCCCCGCTAGTGCAAGGGAAAGACTGACACCTGCTGGTGGTCCGTGGAGCTACAGCATCCTTTGACTTTTCTTCTTCCCTCCGAGAATGCAGTAGGTCATCCATTAAAACATGGCTTCACAAGCTCTGACCTATTACATTTATTAAGCAGATGGATCTGGACCGCGTCGCACTAACATTTGCGGTGTGATTAATGTTATCTCGGCTTTCACCGGGCTTTCTTGTTTTCCCCCTTTGAAGGAAAACTCCAAAAGAGCTGAAGGTCACGGCCGCGCAGGGCATCTCCTGCCAAAGGAAACAGCGGGCGGCTGCGGCTGCGCACTGCTGAGCTCCGGCGCGTCAGATCCCAACGGATGATGTATGGTGTTGTGTGGCTGGACTCAGATAAGGTGAGACGTAAGGCACGCTGCGCTGAAGAAGAAGGAGGAGAAAATCCCAAAAAGTTTTAGCTTGTGTTGACAGTTTGTGAAAATCGAGCTCTGGGTGCATTCGAAAGGAGAACGGGCTGGCTGAGCACGGTTTCTTTGCAGTTCATTTCCTCTTTGTAAGTCGTCCACTTCAGTTTTGGAGTTAAAAAAAACATGTGAGCAGAAAAATGTTGAGCTGTTCCACTCCAATCTCTGTTCTGTTCACTTTCAATTTAAAAATACTTCAGGTAAATGCTTTTGTAACTCATTATTGAAGATTCTTAAAGGAGTTAGGCGATGGTGGCTGTGAGCACCTCTAGCAGTCTGTATTACAGGGAATCTCAACAAGCTTCTTACTGAAGATACAGTTGATGTAAAACCGTCTCATGAGGAAAGTTTCATTTTATGAGGAATTATTTTTATTTTAAGCATATAAAACAGATACGCCTCTCAACACGTCAATAAATAATATAATTTGACAAATAAATATTATTTTAATCCATAAAAATAAATATATTAAAAGGACACAGAAATGTCACATCAGTTCCTGCATTTTAATTGTTTCTTTTAAAAATGATTAGAAACTAAGTTTATTATATAGAGTGGCACTGAATTGAGCTCTGTTTTTTTTTGTGCACAGCAAATCCCTTCTTACCAAATCCCCAATGAGACACAAACAGATATTATTTATTAGCACTTACGAGGAACAATTTTACTGATATTAGCTGACTCAATTAACAGAAACAATTTTCTGCAGGCTTCATTTGGATTTCCTGCCTCATGGTGGAGCCCAAAGGAAATTATCCACACAATGAAAATGCATTTTTGAAACAGTTTAATAATCGAAATAAACTTTTCAGAGAACTTGCATACCGTGAAATAGAAACCTTGAGCTTACAGGCGACCAAAAAAAATTAAATAGAAAGTTTGTTTTCCTATTTTTGCCACCTTATACGAAAGGAGAGTTGTGCTTAAGATACAAGCAGTTTGCGTTCAGAATCAAGTTCCTCAGTGCGGCTGCATTTCTCTCCACTGAGGAATGAAATGCTTGGCCAGAAAACGTTGACCAAATATTCACTCATAAGATGAAAAACGCAATATGTGAAATAACATTTAAAATTAAATCACCACTAAAATCCTATTCACTGACAGCATAGCAAGAATAATCCAATAACTAATTAGCACCGAGCCCAGTTTCATTTATAACACATTTTAAACACCACAAAGGACCAAAGTGCAGTATACAGTAAACGCCCAGAAGAAAATGCATAAGACTAGTGTAAGAAGAAACAAAACAGATTTAAATGAAAAAAAGACAGAAAAAGAGTGAGATTAGCATGAAAGACAAAAAAAATAAGATTTGAGAAGTGGTTTAAAAACAGACAGAGAAAAGCCTTTTTTAAATTACAGCGGTATGCAACAGTATATCACAAATATATCTCCACTGCAGGATCACTGTGTGCAATGTTTGGAGTGCAACAGTTTGCTGCCTGATCTATTCCACGTGTTACAAGCTTGCATTTTTCATGTAATATCGAGTCCGCTGGATAGAGTTCCACAACAGCAGATGCTCAGCGGAAAAAAAATTACCCAAAATGCTAAAGGTCAGAGTGAAGGATTCACAGATGAAAAACAGAGGAAAACGGAGAATATAGTGGTTGACTATGGCATAGAAACAGTTACCAGTATCATCACCATTGCAAGACTCTCCAATATCTGGGAATCCCTCCCAGGTCCAAAAAGGAACAGTCGACTCCGCTCAGTTTATAGGATTTTCCAGTGGATACTGGTACAAGCTGCCAGAAACGAATTAGTATCGACTGGTCAATACTAAAATCAAACTGGAAATGCAACGTCAGAAGACTGCCGGTTGCTCATTGGCCAATGGAGAAGCTTCAAGCTCTCTGCTGTACTTTGCGGTCTATAGGAAATGTGGTTTTCCTGCTTAACTTGTAAGCTTGCTGACATTTTGCGACTATCAGCATTACACCCGAGCGTTTGCTGATGCTCAAATCGAGTCAGGTTTGTGCAGCACATTTCAGCAGCAAGGCGGTTCAAAGCTCTTTACATCATAAAAGCATCATGTTGTCACCAATTACGAAACAAGCAAGAAAGATTACATTTAGTCAAATGCTGTCATCCAAATCAAGCAAATACACAAATATGTTGATTGATGTGAGTTTTTAGTCTAGATTTAAAGGAGCTCAGGGTTTTGAAGTTTTATGAACCACAGATTTGTGGTGCATAGAAACTGAATGCTGCTTCTCTGTGTTTGGTCCTGGTTCTGGAGGTGCAGAGCAGAACCAGAACCTGAAGACCTCAGAGGTCAATGGGACTGAAGATAAACACATGAATAAGTTTCTTTAGCTCTCGCTGAGACATTAGTCCTCTAATCCTGGAAGTGTTCTTCAGGTGATAGAAGGCCGACTTTGTAACCGTCTTTATGTGGCTCTGAATGTTCAGGTTTAATTTCAGGCCTGATTAGCTTCTGGCTGTAATAACTGAAGCTGCATGCTGTACTCTTAGATCGATCCTCTTCAGGTGAAAAACAACAAACAAAATAACTTGAGGAGAGTCTGAGATCATCATTCCCTCAAGCACTTTGACGAAGGCAAAAAATAAATAAAAAAACAAAAACACAGGCTTCCGACACAGTGTAATGTCATTTACACTGCAATATTCAGTGTAATTAATTGAATGCTAACTGCGCTTGATCCAGCTTGGCAAATTTTCACAAACTGATGAGAATATGTTCAGAATTTGAAATTTTTTAGCTTAAAGTCTCTGTGCTTTTATTGTACCCATCAACTTTAGTACCAAGAATTCCAGTGAAATAAAAAAAAGCTGTGGTAATATTTTTGCCATGTTGCCTAGTAATTACAACTTAAGAGCTATTGAGTCAGATGAGTGAGTATGGAAGCGTCCATAGTTTATCCTTCGTGGAAGGATGAATAAAGCAGCAGCAAGAGATAAATCACTCTAAACCTCCTCTGACCTCGCCTACTTAACTTAGGATACCGATCGATAGAAGTACTGACAAACATGATTACTGTACATTAAACATAAAAGAACAAATCAGACGTATATCACCTTTTGCGATAAGTTCATGTTCAGATTTTGTGCTTTAAGTTAGAAAATTTGTTTAGCATAAATGCCTCAAATTCCCAATTGACACTGAATCAAAAAGGGTGCAAGGGCAGCTACACCTCACTATCAGATTCGTCAGACAAGAAGAGGTCCTGACTTTGCCATGCTGGTCTCTCTTCCCATCAAGCTGTAGGTTGGCCATAAAAATATGTCTAGTTCCGAAATAACCGCACCGCAGTTTGCAAGTCGCTGCGTGCCTCGTTTTCACCCTCAGAGTCACGTTTGCCCTCTAAGACCATCTGCTTCCATAACGCATGCAGGACTCTTACCAACGTCTGAGGTGCAGGTCTGTCAGCGGGATGCTTCGCATGGTCGATCCCAGCAGCATGAAGAAGGCCGAGAGCAAGAGGGAAGCCCGTAATCCTGGACAGCAAAAGGCACAGACATTAAAGAAGACGACGGATAGACAGGAAGCAACTAAAACGAGTAAGTGGTTTCTTTCACAACGACGCCGTGTTCACAATTTGTCCTATACATGCTGTTTCATAGGTTGCGTTGTTTGCTTCCGGTGACCTCTGTGATCTCAGCAGGTAGAGAAGTGTCAACCGGGCCAAATGTGGCCATGTGCTCCAGTGAACGCTGTCCAAAACGATGACAAATCATGGCCGTGAAGAGAATCAAAATGCATTTCTGACGCCTGAAAGTAATATCCAACAAAGGCTGCCTGCAAAACAGCTGCGTGTAAGAATATATTTGACTTACGCAAGAAACCAATCATATCGGCAGCATTATTCTCTGCTCCTTATGTGGGTCAGTAGACCAGCTACGTAGTGGTATTGCACACTGTAAGTTGATACAGTCACCATAAAGCTTTATCTCATTCATAGGAGTGATATCAAGGTACGGCACCAAGATCAAAGGCTGTTAGCCGTCTGTGGTACAATTACAAGTCAAGGAAATTAGGACTAAAAAAACCCCCTAAACATCTTGTCAAGATGTTTCTTGTGAGAAAAAGATGCATTTCATCCCAAAAAAAAGAAAGAAAAAAAACCCCGATCTGTCATTAATTTTAAGGAGAACCCATAAGATGAATATATATTTTAACGCTTGTTTTAAATTTTTTTCAAACACTTCAAAACCAACCAGTTCCCCTTTTCAGATGAAAGAAATGTGTTTTGTTTTTGTTTTTTCCATTAAGTGTAATTAAAATTCAATATGACTGAGTTATGCAGGAGGAACAAATAAATAAATAAAAAGATTTATCGGGAACCAAATGTCAGCACATCCAAAAATTAAAATAACCATTTAAAATCTCACACATGGCATTACTGCTTAACGATTCGTTCTTCTTTACAAACATTTGCAGGAGCGGATATTTTAAGAGGCTGCTATACTCGTCTCTCTGCTCTTTAACTGTGTTTTGTAAAGCAAACCTCTCAAAAATATCACTTATAGGTATCACGGAATGCACCTTTAAGTAAGAATTAAACTTACTTTTTATTAATATTTGTGTTTTTAAAAGTAGTTATTGTATTAGTCATTTAATATTCTAATGTTTTAGATCACCTGTAAGTGAAAAATGATCATAATTAAAAGAAATAAAACTCGTCAAAAGCTTTTTATGTCTACATCATGGATGTACAGTTTCTAGAATAAATGGGCTTTTTAATAATATTCTAATTTATTGACTCGGTCTGCAGTCAGATGTTTTCATTTTCAAGTTTTCTTTCTGCCAAGAGAGTAAAGATAAAAATCCTTCGTCCACAGTGACCAGCCTCTTTCATGAAAGTCTTCTAATAAAACCGGCGGATGCACTCTGGTCTAAAACTGAACAAAAGGACGTGAGCAACAGTTATCAGCGGACAGAATTGGTTTCATAACCAACATGTGCTTCCAAGAAGACTGCAAAGTGGTAATAACATTGCAGGTGAAATGTTGGGATCAGAATTTTGGAAAGCAGTCTGCATCACCAAATAATTATACTCTCGAAGTATCTTTTGTAGCACTGACGCTTCGGTTTGGTTGGATTTCTCTTTAAATGGCGACACCTGCCTCGCTGTTCACAAGCAGTTTCTACCTCAGAGTGAGTGGGAGCTCTCAGCAGGGAGCGAAATCCTTTCCCTCACTGATTCGTGTCCCTGCATGTGGATGGCAACTTGTGTGTATGTGCGGCACAGAAATCCATGAAGGCAGGCAAGGTTGAAACCTGTATCAACTGCTCTTGTACACAAAATCAGACCATGTGACAATGTAATTTGAGAAAACGGGACATATTGTCCTCATTTTTAAACATTATTTTTTAGGTTTTATAAGTCAGCCCTACGTTGGCTCAACGTTATGAATTTTCTGACATTTATGTACAGAATGAGAAACGCCGATTGAAACCAACTTTGAAAACAGAACTCCCAAAATGCTGATGACTCAGGATCACAAGACTGTTCCACTCGGGCTTGTGCATGTTTACAATCAGGATAATGAAACGCAGCACTTCGTCAGACAAAACTTCTAACCAGTTCAGTGTGGATATTACACACTTTGTGTCAGGTGATGCAGACTGTGCTGGTTAGGTGGGGCCCACTCTGACGCAGAGGCTTTAGTCGGGTTCTTCAACTTCCTCATCATAAATCGAAAGCGCTTCCCGAAATATTCAGGAATTTCTCAAAGCTGACGTCAGTGACATCTGAAGTTTTAAAATGTAAATATGTTCCAATGCATCATCAATCGTGTTTATGTTCATATGGCTCCAGCTACAGCTGTAAACTTACTGAAGGAAGCCATGGAATGACTAATTCCTCATTTGGTCGATTTACAGCTATGATATGGGCTCTTTACCCAGGGCAGCGCGGCTTTAGGGTGCGTCAAATGAAGACTTCTCTTGCTTATTTACATGACCTGTCAATGGAAAATGGACACCTCTTCTCTAATGTGCACTGTAAGAAAATACAAGTGCACACGAAAGTGTCTAAAGATGCCAGGTTGTTTACAGTTTCTAAATCAAGGCCACATCATAAGACTGCTTCACATTTTGTTTTGCTTGTTGTTTAGTTGCATTTTATCAGCTCAAAATCTAAAACATCCAGACTGGCAACACCTGAAATTGATTATTTTATAATGCAAGAATATTTTAAAGTGTAGGGGAGAAAATGTACTTATACTTTAATTTGATTATTTAAACTGTGATCAGAAATCAATTTTAAAAAATTTGCAAAAATATGTTTATTTGTTTTGTTTTCAAAATGATCATACAAAGACTATTCATACATTAATAAAAAATAAAAAACCATAGCAGTAGGTAATACTCATGTCTTTAAAAAGCTGCGATATCTCATGTTCGTCACCCAAACTTTTGTGTGTTTTGATGATCGATACTTCGATAACCTGTGTGTCACGGTATTGACAGGGGTCAGGGGTCAAGCAGCAATATCATGTCCAGACGGGACACGTTGTACCAAATTAGAACAGCTCACCTTTTTTGTCCATTAACCACATAAACAGCAACCAGGGTAAGAACCCGACCGGGCCCCACAGAACCAGAACTGCGATGTCAGACTTGGTGAACCCGTACGCCTTCGCGGCCGAGTTCTGGATGGGTCCCCAGAAGTTCCACACCATCCCCTGCATGAACGCCAGCAGAGAAAACAGGGTCAAAACCAGCCATCTTCTGCCGTACACCCGGCTGTTTACGGGCAGGCTGTTCGTCGTCCCGGCGGAAGTCGGCGCAAGAAGCGGCTCCCTTTCTGCCTCGCTGCTCGAGGCCGCACCCATCGTCGCCGCTCGCTCGGTTGTCAAGTGTCGCCCGAAAGCTCACTTTTAATTCTGTTTGGAGGACAACAGATGCGCTGCTCGGCTATTGTGGTGGACAAAATAATAACAGCCGAGCCGACAGTCCCCTTTTTTGGGGAAACTGCTCCACTGCGCATGTCCAAACGGAAATAGATCGCAGCGTTGGGAAACTGGCGCGCTACCGCCGCCATTACGGCGCCGCTTCACGCGCGAGCTTTGCTGGAGACGTTGGAGCAGGAAAAAGAGCCAAAATGGAGCAGTTACATGTAGAAAAGGGCCAAATGTAAATTGAGAGCGCGCTGTGTCATGTGAGTTTTGTTTACATCCGCCAGAAGTCCCTCTCCACGTGTAGGTGAGTGTCGCTTTTCCACGTACGTCTCCACGAAGCTAGCTGGAGCTGGATTTACTGGGAAATGTTCACTGTTAAACGGAAAACACGAATCTGTGCTTACCAAAAAAAAAAAAAAAAAAAAAACAGCTAGCATATTCAAAAAGTAGCTTTATGTTCCGTTTTTCTTTTTCAGCAAACGTACAGTCCCGTTCAGCTGGCATTCAGTTTGACATTAGAGTAGACGTCTTCTTAATCACCCGAGTATACTAAAAGCAAAAGATAAATATGTTCTAGAGTTCCCGCTGTTCATTAGCATTCAGTGCGGAAGTTCAAAATTAGCTTTAGCTTCCCAGCAAGACTCAATTTTAATAGTTTTTTGTGATTTTTTTTTCGGGAAATTGCTTTCAGAGCACACCAAACACGTCCCAGAAAACAAAAAGCCATTAAACAGGAACGACGTTCAAAACAGATACAAGATGACTAACCTGGCAAACCAAACAGGATGTGATTAAATAGTATATTTGTTATCCGAACAAATCTTATTTATAAATCTTCTTACATTTCACACAATATACAAATAGCATTAACATACAGAAGATTTCTTTTTTTTTAAAAGACCTTTTGTTGCTAACAAAGACATCACTGCCTGTAAAGGTTTTGTGGTCATACGTTGTCATCTTGCTCTCATTTCAGAAATCTCTTCTGATATACACTATGGTGGTTTTGCTTTTTATTCAAAAGTAGTTTTATGTTAGAAAATCAAGTTATGTTACAGTAAGGCGTATCTACCAGCAGCTGGGTTTTCTGAGTTATTTTAGTTTATTTGAGGTCAGAATCTGTCAAGAGTCAATTAACCCAAAGAGGAAAAAGAACCAAAGCAAACATCAATAGTGTGTTATGCAAAGTTTTTAAACAAAAAGACCAGGGAAGGAATTACAAGTCCTTCTATTTTATGTTTATCAAATAGCATAGTTGTAAATAGAGATTAAAAATGCAAAGAAGAAATGAGGGCAAAGACCAAACAAATCAATGACATCCAAATGACTGAAAAGTGCGTTTAATAAACCAAGACCAGTCTGTTTATCATCGGATTCAAAAGTCAAGTGAATTTATTAGTGATCCAAATAAACTGTATTGGAAACATAGAGATACATTTTACAGAATGTATCATAATCTCATAATGAGTCCATTTGCTGTGAGCCTCAAAAAAGAAGACATCGTTCTATACCTTCTGCATGCTGTCTGTGTTTGGCACAGATATTAAACGCTGACTCTGCTAATACCGTATCTTATTCCCATGTTGCAACCTGTGAACAGCGTGGACCCCCAGGCAATGGCTGCCGTGAACTCCATCAAACCCTTCAGCCCAGAGGAGACCAGACGGATTTTGGATCATTTGCGGCATCCTGCAGTTTTCCTGAACATGACCCAGGGCTGGCCTGTTCTCCACTGGACTGCACAGCATCTGTCAGGCTGCCTTCAAGACAGGCTGATCCGATTCAGGCTCGGAAGGAAAGAGGCAACAAACAGTAAGAGCAGATGATGGATCTCTTCAGAGGGAAGGCGTCACTCCTCAGTAATAAATCATTTAAAATCCATGTTTAGCAAAAAACTGACCTCAAGCTACAGTGAGCCTACTCTGGCTCTCACCAGGTTAAAGTTGTTCATTAATTGAGGTTTAAAATGCAGTTGGAAAGAAAACCATAAGAAAGTATTGAAAAAAGACAGAAGGACTTATAAAAATGTGTTGTAGGTTTTTTGTTTGTTTATATAATTAATTTAAAATGTTTAAAAACAAAGTGGTTATGAATAGGACTGAAGTTTGTACATCCAAACTCTCTTGTTTCTTCCTCCCTCTTTGTAGCTCCTCTGTTTGAGACTCAGTGTTCGTACATCGAGGCCACAGTGGCTCAGTTTCTGCGCTGGACTCAGCATCAGACCGATGTGGGGTCTTTCTCTGAATACCCCTGCTCAAAGTATTGGGCTTATGCTGACTACAAGTACATCACCACGCTGTTTCACGATCAACCTTCCATGTTCGAGGTAACCATCATGCCCCGCTTTTCGCTTCCCTTGGGTATTTGGGCACTATTGGATACAGTATCGCCAAGGAGTACATTGAGATTTTAACAAAAAAAATCTGGTGGACTCAACCAATAAATAGAAAACAGCTTGTTATTGCAACTTTTAGCAGGATAATGTTTCAAAGCATGTGGTCAAATCAATGCTGAAACGGATCAGCAGACAAAAACACAGCCTTCTTCAGTGACCTAAATCCTAAAATAAAAATTAAAAAACCTTTTGGGTGAGCTGAAAGGAACAGAACAAAAGTCCCAAAACTGAATGATGTAACAAAGGAATGGTTCTCGGTCTCTCCATGTTTCCTCTAACTTTGTGAAATGTTATAGAAGAACAAGAAGTGCTCTCCTATGAGCGTCTTGAATGCTAATGGTTGGACCACCTGTGAGTTTTGTTAAAAAGAAAAAGTCTTCAGACATTTTTTCATAGAAATGTACTCAATAAATATTCTTAATTTAAACGTAATATTTATTTTTTATTTTTTTATATTTTAGTCTCAACTAATGTGCGGACTCCTCAGATATCCTAGCTCATAATTTAATTTAATATAATAATAAATAAAAATATGCTGCTCACTTCAGCCTGCCAAACTTTGTGGAAGAGTTTGTAATGTTCAACAATTCAAATATTAAGCATTCTGTTAAAAAACACAGCCTTAAAAGCCAAAATAGCAGTTCCCATGTTGCATTTAATTTGAGCCTCTTGTTTGACATTTTACGTTTGTCTTCAATATGAAGCGGCACCAGCAGCTTTTTATTAACTAACTGACTCGTCCTCTGATTACATAAGTGTCACTTTTTTTTTTAACAATGTCCTGGAATTTATTACATTTTCTAGTCTGTGTGATAAAGTGTTTCTGGGTATCCACCTGCAATTATTATCTACTGACATTTATGGCTCTGAGACGAGCAGACATGGGCTTAAGAGAATCATGGTGCCGGGAGGAAGGCTTCCTCAAGGCTAAATTGACCAGTCTGTAATTTCCAGCTGCTTTCTTATAGAATAATGACTTCATTATTCTGGGACCTTATGGGATTTAGTGTTTTTGCTTTGGTAGTATATAACTGACGAGGCAGTTTTCCTCGAAACAATTACCAATCTTAAGTTTACTTTTTTCTGCTTGAACAACTTCATTTGTTGCCGTACATGTTCTCTCTCACTGCAGCTTATGGTGTAAGGTTATAAATAAGCAATGAGATGGCAGGGTTGTTCCTCTGGTGACAATATCAGCCATGTTTCTATATTTTTGAAATAATTATGGACTAAATTTAGTTCTATTTTCAACACTGTTTTGAAAGGAATAAATGATTGCTGTTTATTCCAGGATGTAAAGTGGTCTGAGTTTGGCTTTGAGGGACGTAACGGGAAGGAGAGCACTCTTTGGATTGGCACAGAAGGAGCTAACACGCCGTGCCACCTGGACACCTACGGCTGTAACCTGGTGCTGCAGGTTCAAGGACGGTAAGAAGGAACACCTGAACACATCAAAAAAAAAAAAAAGACACAAGCTGAGCTCTTCAGCTAAATCCCCCCCCAAATGTTACTTTTCTGGCTTTTGTTTGGAGCTAGAGGGGCATAAATTAATAAAAGATTTTATATATATATATATATATATATATATATATATATATATATATATATATATATATATATATTATATATATATAAACACCAGAGCAATAGAGGCCCAGATCTACCACACCAGACAAGACCCAAGGTGTAGGTTGTGCAAGGAGGCCCCTGAGACAGTCCAGCACATCACAGCAGGGTGCAAGATACTGGCAGGGAAAGCGCACATGGAACGACATAACCAAGTGGCAGGCATAGTGTACAGAAACATCTGTGCAGAATATGGACTGGAAACCCCGAGATCAAAGTGGGAAACACCCCCAAAGGTGGTGGAGAACACCAGAGCTAAGATCCTGTGGGACTTCCAGATCCAGACAGACAAAATGGTAATGGTGAACCAACCAGACAATGTCGTAGTGGATAAACATCAGAGGAAAGCCGTTGTGGTAGATGTAGCAATACCAAGTGATTGCAACATCAGGAAAAAGGAGCACGAGAAACTGGAGAAATACCAGGGCCTCAGGGAAGAACTGTGGTCTTCACTGGAAGGTGATGACCACAGTGGTGCCTGTGGTCATCGGGGCCCTCGGGGCAGTAACCCCCAAACTGGATCAATGGCTACAACAGATCCCAGGAACAACATCAGACATCTCAGTCCAGAAATGTGCAGTCCTTGGCACAGCCAAGATACTGCGCAGAACCCTCAAGCTCCCAGGCCTTTGGTAGAGGACCCGAGCTCAGAGGATAAGAACCACCCGCGGTGGGTGAGAAGGGAATTTTTATTTATATATATATATATATATATATATATATTAAACGTTGTTTGTCATTAATGAATCAAATAATTAAACAGGCCAAATTATGAAAAATGATTATTAGGTAAAAAATTTGTTGGGTGCGTTACTACTGCACATTACGTCAAATTCACATTGAACACAACCTATGTCAATCAAAGAAATTAGCTTCATCATCTGTCCATCATCCATTTGACCTATAGCGACCTTTAGGTCAACCAATAGCTGCTTCTCTGGCACAGGAGTTGGTACCACTATAGTGAGTTTTATGGCTTGCATTTTAAATAAATGAGGAGGAAAGTGATGAGAACTCTGGAATTCTGAAAAAAATGTAGAAACTCTTCAGTGGAGCCACAACACTGATCATGTTGCTTCTCTCATGTTTTTGTTGTTCATATTAAATAATTGATCACATTTCAGCAAAGGGTGTAGCCATTTTAAAATATGCAATTCTTCGGTCCAGGTTCTTTTAAATATTAAAGTTTATATGTATTTAGAATCTTCTTCCATTCATTTTCTTGTTAAAAAAAAAAAAAACCTTGCAGTAATTTGTGCCGAAGAAGTCAAACAGAACATGCACAGAAGGAATATTTAAAAATGTAAAAATGCTCAACAATTTTATTTTCTGTCTGCATGATACATCCGCATTAACATTGGTATTCATTAGTAATTTTTTTTTTACATATGGGTATCGGTTGGTAAAAGTGGTACAATATTATCAACCAATGTTTATTTGGATTTTGTTTTGTGGAAAAAAACAATATCTAATCTGTAGTAACAGATCAGGCTTGAGACTCTGGCAAATGGCAAAGAGCAAAATCTTTATTTCAGTCGTTTGCAAACGGAGAACACACAGTAACCACAACACAACAGCTGTACCTACAATGAGTTCTGATTTGGAGCTGCAAATTAGGACTCTCTGATATATATATAGGACTCTCTGTACAATGTGGTCACTCCCTGGCCCAGAGCCAGTCGAACAGGTTAATGCACAGTCACTCTTAACAGGGTATAGAGAGAATGCAACATCCATTCTTAGGGTAAGTTAATTGTTCAGATGATAAACATCTTTATTCAAAAATAGGTGCATTTCCAAAAATCAGGTTTACTAATGGAGCAATTTTGCATAACAAGAACATTATCACACTTTGTACCTTCACTCGGCATGTAGCCTTAGCTTGTGACATTTTAATGGAGGAATTTGTTAAGCCTTAGGGTTTATTCCATCTTACTACAATTACCTAACCTGTTTATTGTTATCTGTTAAGAAACACTGGCGCCTGATTTTAGTTGCTGACAACCTACTGAAACTTTTCCAAGGAGAGGTCAAAAAGAAACCTATCTAACTGATTCTTTAAAGACTCCTTGACCTACATGGTTTAACAGACTAAACAATACTAGTGTTAAATGACTAAAGAAATAAATAAAATTCTTAAAAGAAATAATGAAAAAATTTTTACTTCACAGTTTACATTTTTGTTTCAGGAGGTGGAAGTAGCTGGATATTTGATTAACCGAACTGGTGTGGTCTCGTTTACCCAGTGTGAACAGTGTATGGAAATATACAATATACATATCGGTAACTACAGGTTATTGACAATAACAGTTAGTATCGGATACCGGATATTGACATTGGTCCAAACTTTCATATCGGTTCATCTGTACCATTTTCAATCAGACAGTTATGGTTAAGGTAATGTTTACCTCTCTTTGAATGAAAGATCCCATACTTAGAAAATAAAGTTTTTGAACCAAATACAGATGAGGACAACTGAGAAATGTGAGTTTTTGAGCTGCATTTAATGGGTGTGTTTAAACCAAACCCTGTCATTTAAACCTGAAACAATGTTGCACTTAAATTTAACCGACAGGACCTGCAGCAGAGCAGCATTTCTCATGTGAAAGTTTTCAGCCTCTTAAGAGCCCAACTCTTCCTCAACACTGAAGGTTGAAGAGCACCGCGGCTGCCGACACTCGACGCGATCCGTCCTCTGCCCTCTGGAAAGGATTTAATTTGTCCCTGTGCTCTCGAGAGGAGCAGGAAAGAGCAGACGACGAGGCGAGCCACAATAACGGGGCAGAGCGAGCCAAGAAATGAAAAGGAAAAGGTCTGCGTTATCTCGCTTTGGCAGCCTCTCAGGGAGCAACAGTTGTGTCTCACAGCTTGTAATTGGGTCTCAGGTTCTTTTATTTGGTATTGATCTCTGAGGGAATCAAATGCCGCTCCAGCAGTCTTTTAACTCTGCTGATCTATGACAATACAACGGCGTTGATTGATATCGTAACATTTGGCCTTCTGCTAGATCAGATCAACAGGAAATTTTTAAAAAAGCATTGGCAAAGTCAAATAGTTTTTAAACAAACTATTAAGGGAATGTAGTTTAGGTTTTAGGTTTGAAAAGATTGTTTGGGACTGATGGGTTTGCAGCTGCCTTTGCTAGAGGATAAGAGCAGAGTTGGAATTTGGATTGGGTTTTTGGAAACTTCAGCTTTCTTTCACTGTTTTTTCCTTTTTCCTTAAGTGGCATGGACACAGTGCAACAGATTGGATTCAGATTAAAACGGTGTCCCTTCTCTGCAGGAAACGCTGGCATCTGTTCCCTCCGGAAGACACGGCGAAGCTTTACCCGACCCGGATCCCCTACGAGGAGTCGAGCATCTTCAGCCAGGTCCACGTTCTCCACCCGGACCTGAGGAAGTTCCCGCAGTTCCAGGGGGCCAGGGCCCACACGGTGACTCTGGAGCCCGGGCAGGTCAGAATGTGACAAGGTTAAAAACACAATCTAATTTCAAAGATGACACTACTTGATGAGTTTATTGATCCAGGATGCACAAACTAAGGCTTGGATTGATTTATCTTTAAAGTTAATTAAAGTCTCTTTTTCATGGCTAAATTAAATCTTCCTTACTTCCTTTTTTCTTACTTCCTAATGTTGATTGATAAGTCAATGGCCACTTTCTATGAAATTCAGACTTTTACAACCTTATTTACGCAGTACATACAGTACGCCGTCTTAAAAAGTCCTTTTGCAATTTCTGGTCTGAACCAGAACGGAAAAAGTGACGTTTTCCAAACTTTTATTCATTTTTTTTTTAACAGATTAGAAAATGCATATTCTGGGATTGCCGTGGTGGCGTAGGAGTTAGCATGACCCACATTTAGAGGCCCTTAGTCCTCGACGCGGGCGTCGCAGGTTCGACTCCTGGACCTGACATAATCTGCCTCATATGTTCCCCGATTTCTTTAACCCCCTCCTGTCAGCCTGCTGTCATATAAGGGACACTAGAGCCCACAAAGAGCCACTTGGAGGAGGGAAGTATATTCTAGTAAGTTATCTGAACAGAGTTTTTCTCATACGGTTTTATAGCAAAAGTTTTTGCACCCTTTGAAATATTATTGTGGTTCTGCTTCACCTTTGGGTGATTTGAGATTTTATGTCAAAGAAAGCAAGAGCTCATAGCTTTGTAAAGGTAAACCTCACCATCTCTATGGATGATGTGTTCGAGTGGGGGGAAGATATCAGGGTTAAGTCCAGGTCTGCAGGTCGAGTGACAATTGGCTTCACTTCCCACTTCAGATAAAGATGAGCGCTAAATTACAGAAGAGCTGTGGTAAACTCTGGGGGAGTTAACGTTTCCTCTTTCTCACCGTACGGTTCCTTTTTTCCTTTACTTGTTTGGTTCAAAGAAATCACTCCTTTGTATCTGCTCTCCATTGAGCCTCTTCAACCTTTAGAAAAACCCGCTGACATGTTGATGCGAGTTGATTCATAAGCTGAAGTCACTGTTTCCTGCTTAATTGGAAATCTCTTCTGAAAAAAAATGACCTAAATATCATCAGAATCCCCCTTCGGTTCCTGCGGACAGCTTTAGGCCTGAGACTTGTTTTATTCTACTTTAGAAATGACTTGTGTACATGGAAGGAAAGGCTGCTGGTCTCTATCTCTCCTGGACTGAAATCGATAAACCTTCTGCGTTGTATTTTTTTAATAGTCGCCTTATGAACGGATGGACCGCTAATCGACCAGGGTTCTGGTTTACGCTGCCATCTGCTGGATTATCTTTGTACTTAGTAGCTTTTTATCTTTGGAAACAGAAGTTTAGAAACTAATTGCTGCCATTGAATCCTTGATAAATTAAATGGGCTTTTTTTTCCTCTGTCTCTCTTTCTTATCTGTTGTGACCAGGTTCTTTATGTCCCCATGCACTGGTGGCACTATGTGGAGTCAATGGATCCCATCACCGTCAGCGTCAACTCCTGGATCGAGCTGGTACCGTCTCTCCTTCATCCTGTGATCTTCACCTAAACCCTTTCTGAAACAAGGCTCTAACAAGCCCAGGCGCTCTGAGGTTTTTAAACTCCTTGGGAGTCTGGGAAAGTGAGGAATTTGATTTGATTGTTTTGTAGCTCTGTAGGAAAAAGAAGTTAAATGCTGTGATTTTCTCTAAATAAATAGCTGAAATTTCCAAAATGACATAATTATCTTACAATATGCATATAACACTCGTCTATTCCCTCTCTTGAATTGACCTAAATTTATATTCCAAATAATCAGAAGCTGTCAAACACGCTTGTCCAACAAGATGGTGGCCGCGGGCGGGTTGACGAAACTTAAGTGCTTTGGTGGAAAAATAATTAAAAAGAACAAATATTTTCAATTGATAAAATCAATTTTATTGTATGAGTTGCTTCCGTATTCATCTCTTTCTTTAGAAAATGTGTTTGCGAATGGGGCAAAGTTGATTTATTCCTCTTTTGCCTTATAATTAAAGTCATTAGAAAACTGCTTATTATATTTGCTCAGATTATCTTTGTCTAATTTACAAGGTGTTTGATTGGAGGCATATTATTCTGAGAATGAAAACGGGAGCAAATTTCTAAGCATTTTCCCAGAGGGGTCACAAACACGAGAAAACTGTCTGCATTACATGTCAAAAATTACAATAAATGAATTGAGACTTTGCTCACGTTTGTGCCTCTGTTGCTGCGCAGGAAGTGGACGACGCAGCTCGAGTCGGCGAAGCCGTGACCAGGACGGTTGTGTGTGCGATGAAAAACGCTCGGAGTGACGACAACACCGACGCCTGGCTGAACCCCACCGAGGTAACAAATACATGCTGCCGTGAAAAAGAGCCGAAGCACCTCGTAATGCGAGATAAAATACAAAACAAAGGGATGGATTTGAAAATCCAGTTTCCAAATACCGACATGTTTTTCTTTTTTTCCTTTACTAACTGCTTAAGCCTTTCCATATAAGTTTAGAAATGAAAGATGCGGATAAACAACGACTTCATTTTCTTTTTTTAAGTAGGAAAATGAAAATGTTATTGATTGAAATATATTTTTAACCAATTAATAATGTGATATCAAAAGGTACTTAAAAGGAGATTTTTACTGTAGACTGATTTATAATTGTTTTGTTCCTGTATCTTAAATGCAAAAAGTGTATATTTTTTGTACAGTTTTAGCTTAATTTCTGCTTTTAGTACATTGTTCTTTCCTTTTTCTTAGTCTCTACGCTCCTTTTAACAATTATTCAGTTACTAAATTAATTCTCAGTTATTATTTCAATAATTGATTTATCACAACTAATTGTTTAGGTCCTAGACAAAAGTTGAAAACTATGTTTAATGGATTATTTTCTGTTGGCCAACACCTAAAATGTCAATAAATATGACAAAACGGGGGTGAATACTTTATCTGATTACTTCCTACAGTTAGAAGAGCTGTTTGATTTCTTTCTTTTACTGTCGCTGGTGTGAAGCTTTTTGCAAGTTCAGACTCTGAAGTAAAAATTGTGTTATTTTAGATAGGTTAGATAGGTTTCCTTTTGACCTCTGCTTGGAAAAGCTCCAGCAGGCTGTCAGTGACTAAAATAAGGAGCCAGTGTTTGTTAACAGATAACAAAAAGTTTAGGTAAATACAGTAAGATGGAATGAGCTCTAAGGTCTAATGTTAGAAGCTCAGAGTACGTACGAGGTCTTACAATGTTTTTGGTACAAAAAATCCTAATTTTTGGAAACTCCCATATTTTGAACAAGAACATGTTTGTCAACTAAATAATTAACTGACCTTTCAGTAAGGAGAGATGCATCCTGTCCACCATGTGGCTACTGACTGAGCTTTAAACCTGTTCAATTGGCTCTGGGCCACTGAGTGACCACATTGTATAGGGAGTCCTATATATTGTAAGAGCTTGCAGCTCCAAGTCAGAACTCATTGTAGGTACAGCTGTTGTGTTGTGGTTACTGTGTGTTCTCCGTTTGCAAACGACTGAAATAAAGATTTTTGCTATTTGCCATTTTGACAGATTAGATTTTTTTTCCACACAGACATTTCCACACAACACTGAGTAAAGTGAAAATAAAGTGTTTTGTCTGATTATTAGCTGAACTCCTGGCGTGTTATGAAGAAATGTGGGACTTCAGCGAACTCACAGATCTTTCTAAAAGCATTACAAAGTTTAAACCATTAAATATTTTTTGATCAAATATTTTCCAGGAAGGAAAACTCTCCCATGAAGAAAACATGCAGTATCTCAACCTGGCAGTGTCCGCTCAGAGAAAGAGGGGCCTCTTCCACGGGAAGCCCAGCCCGGACCCGAGGCCCACTCAGCCTGCCAAACGGGACTCATGTGGACGACTAAAGCTCAGAGGAGACGGGGTCGAGGTCCCTGCGTCCGTCCGACTCCCGTTCGGGCAACATCTCATCCCCGTAACGTGTCAGGAAGACGAACCGGAGAAAACGGCTGGGGAGGATGTTGCTCCTGGCGCAAAGGGGAAACACACACATGGCGCTGATTTAACTCAATTTAGCTCATGCGATTCAGCGACGGACCGCGGGAATAATCAGGGCTCGGGACCTTCGCCGATTACCACTAACGACCTGTTAGACTGCCTGGTCCATCCCGACGTCATCAGCCGTGTGACAGAGCTTCTCCTGGAGCGGCACGGAGGCGGCCATCTTTAATCTTTAATCTTCAGCCTTCACCTGCCGCAGACGGGACGCGCTCGGTGTCGAACATGGATCTCCAGCAGCAAACTGCTCACTTCCTGTTGTTATGTGACACCTTTCATTTGTGCCCTCATTCTGGGATCCTCGCGCTGCAGACTCCAAATTTGAGCAAACGCAATTATGTGGTGAGTCATGGCGACGAGTGGCCCTGACATTTCCTCCCTGTGTCGTCCAGAACATGCTAATCTGGTTTAGCAGAGGAAAAATGACCGCCTCCATCAAGTTAGCATGTTAATGCAACAAATAATTCAGAATAATATTCCTCTGGTGGAAGCATTTGTTCTCTCTGTGATGTTTTGTTGTCATTTAGCGCTAAAAAAAAATTGGGTCTCAACCTCCGTGACTTCCTGGTCGTAATGGTTTCAGGATGTATGAGAGTCCAACGTGACTGAAACTGACCAAAATGTTTCAGACTTCTTATTTGATTTTACATTTTGTTCTTTGCCTAAAAATCCGTTTCTGTAAATTAGAATATAATTGAAAAGTTCAGATATTACATCAGAACAATAAGGAAAAGGGTTTCTAAAACAGAAATGTTATGGTTCAGTCATCGACAACCTTCACAAGAACAAGGCTCTTCTTGAAAATCTGTGCCCACTCGTATGTGGTGGGAAGTTTAGTGGAAGGAAAAGCTGAAAGGTACGTTTTGGAACGCATCACCTTCCCTCTGTTGACAAGCTTTTGGAAATACACATTTTAATTTTTAATACAATTAGGCAAAAAAAGAAAAAAACCTCCCTAATGACCATTGTGCCACTGTGCTTGATTGGCCAGCAAACTAAACGGACGTAATAAACAAGGTGTGTTTTAAGAGTAGGATGAGAAACTAAAGACCACTGTTGAAGCAGTCTGGCCTTCCTTAAAACCTCCATGGCATGCTGCATTGATGCAGTAATCATGAAAAACATTGAGCTTTTTATATAATGCGTTGTACAGGGGAATTACTCTTCACTAGGTTGACATTTTGTTTTAAAAATGCTTATATTAGGACTTTTCTGCAATTCTAAATTTTTCAGAAACTCAATTTTGGGTTTCCGTTGGCTGTAAGCTACAATTAAACAGAAATAAACACTTGAAATATACCAGTCTGTGTTGAATGCATGTTGCTTGTGCACTTTTTTCTTCCTCTAAATCTAATAACAACTTTGGGTGCAGCATTATGCAGCGAGCAGCTGACTGTTCAGTGACTCAGACACAGATTCTGATTAAACCAGGGAATTTGTCAGGTCCTGGATCAAACACTTGTTTGATCCATATGCTGTTCAAAAAGTATTGAACAGCATATGTGCATTCAGTTTTAGAGACAATCGTATGAAGTTCACATGTCAAGGTTCATGTGCATTTTAGGTTCATCTTGAAATTTCCCTCAAAAGCTAAATATCTTCAAGTAGTGTGTATAAAACTGGGCTTAATGATTCAACATCATGCAATGTTTGAATTATTTAAACTTCTCCTTGATGTTATTTACTCAGAAGTACCAATAGTTTTAAAATAATTTCCTTTTTAATGTTTTTTGAGAGAAAATGACATGTTTACAAATATTAAGATCGGCTCACCGTCGGATATTTATTTACAGAGGTTTATTTGGGGCAGCTTGATTTGTTTTTCAAAAAATGGTCACGAAGCCTGACGGATTCAGTCTGCAGCTCTGGTTTTGGCACAACACAGGAGATTACGACACCACAGAAGAAGAACGATGCTGCTGTAGTGGTGATATTAATTACAGTCTCCCTGTAAATCAAGGCAGCATGAGCATAAAGGACCAGGGCAGAGCAGAAGCGATACTTACAGTAAATGTGATCAAATATTACAGTCCAGCCTGATGAAACTAATTTAGCTTAAAAAAAAAAAAAAGTAGCGTCAATGTAAATCTTCTTTTGCTGCCGAGTGATGTTTCAGGAACCGACTGTAAACCGCATTATTTCATGAATTTCACTGTGCGACAAAGTCAGCAGCAAACATATACAGATTATAAAGTCAAACAGTGTCAATCAGAGGAAAATAAAAAATAAAAATCACTGCGTCTGGTAAACATTATGACACATACATGAGCCGGTTCCAGTGCTTCCTGTGTGATTTCAAGCTCAAGATTGAGTAGGCCATTGAGATATTTCACAGATTATATATTTTTTAATTATTATTTATTTTTACAATGTCATCAATATTGGACCTTTAGTGTCTAATAACCAAGAAATTCCTGAAAAAAGAACCAAATCAACTATTTCTAATGCCGCAAAAAATCACATTCTGGTGCTCATTCCTTTTTCGTTCAGAGGTATGCCGTCATGTTTCTTCTTCTGAGTCTTCATGTCGCCGCAGCCGTCCTCATCCTCCTCCTCCTGCTTCCCCGAGTCTCCGGCGTACATTTTGCTCAGCTGCTCGGGGTCGACGTAAGTGTAGAAGTGGGCCATGAAGGAGAAGACGATGCAGACGCCCAGCAGGAGGCCGCCGAACAGCAGGAACTCTTTCCACTGAGGAGATGTCAGAAAAAGCGGTGAATGAACTGAAACCCCGACGGGATTTGCGTCCCGTTTTTCTTTCGGCGGCGTCCCAGTGCGAATACCTGCTCCAGCCCCGCCCCCTCGGCCACGATCAGAACGATCACGTTTCCGAACGCGACCGTGAGCAGCCAGCCGGCCTGCAGCACCGACTTCATGTTGTTCGGAGCCTGGAGGACAAAACAGGTAAGCAAAAAAAAAAAAAAAACATCTCTTGTTACACCTTGAAGAGCTGCAGCTCCAGATTATTTGGATTTCTTTACTGTTTGATCACCTTCGAAGTCGTTTTGACACTTAGTGACTGGATTCGTTACTTTAGATTTCTGCCTTTTTTATTATTATTATTTATTCTGCAACGCAATGCATACAGACTAATTTAGCAGTTTTATGGCAAACCTGTGAGTAGGAGAACTCCAAACCCGTGATGGAGAACATGACCTCTCCGGCTGTAATGAGGGCGTACTGCGGGATCTGCCAGGCAATGTGCACGTTGTTGGCTTTTATGTCCTCCATCTTTTCAGCTACAACTTTACCATCTTTCTGATGGAGATAAACAGAGAGAGAGAGATTTGTGACGTTGTGCAAAATATCACAATTATGCCAAAGCATGTGCAGAATTCGCCTAGCAACAGGAACTGGAAACTTTTTTTTTTAAGCCCCGATTGGCGGTGAGATGGACGGAAACCTTTTTCTGTGATCGCACCAATCAAAAGTGACAACACTCTTCAGTGTGGAAGTTGTTACCTGCCCACTTTTATAGCCACTTCCAGTTCCAGCCAGGTCTTTAAAATGAACCCAGAGGACGTAAAGCATGGCATTTAAAAAAGAAACCGTATTGTTTAGTGCGTGTTGAGACATTTCTGCAGTTCATTTGGGTTGTGAGAAAGTGAGAAAGAGCAAGACTTTCAGCAGATAACAAGAAGGCGCCATCCATGACAATAAGGCTCTGAGTTTTGTCCCTATAAGCTTTAAACTTCTGTTTAGTTGGAATTATGGGAGTTTTTAACAGCTATGCTAACCATGCTAGTCGCTAATGTCAGATGCTAAACGTCAACCCTTGTTTTTATGCTTGCTTTATAACAACTGCTCTCTTAAATCACCTCTACTCGTACAAAAATAGCATCATGAATGCTGTTCTTGTGTCTGAGGATGTCGCTGCATTTCAAGAGAAATCAGAACCGGCTAAAATCGGTCAAGAATCACACAAATGAAATGAGTTGCAGTTGAAGGAGTGTCTTTACCTCCTGGAGGATGAAAGTGTAAGAAGCTCCAAAGTCCAGCACGCCCAGGCTGAGATCCTCACACTTCTTCGACTGGTTGGTGCAGCGGACTGCCAGGTAGCTTTAACATAAACAAGGAGGGGATAAAAAAAAAAAAAGCTTAATGCATTGGAACCAAAGCATTGAGCTCCATTTATTCAGCACATCAATAACTCTGACCGCACTACTCACGATCCCCGATTCACGCTGCTGTTTGCAGACACGCTGTAGTCCGGGGCCACGAAAAACTCGGTTTCTCCCACAGTTATGCTCATGGCTTCCGCCAACGTGTTGAAGAAGCTGTTGAGAAGTCAGCGGAACCAGTCACATGTTTACTTCGACCAGATCTCATGAAAACCAACGCAATCCGCAGGAACAAACATCTTTTACCGCACATTAGGGTTCCCGTCTTCGTTTTTGATGATGTTGTCCTCCACCTGAAACACAAACATGGACCCGGAGGCAGTTTCACATCAGCAACATGCAGTAACATTTTTTTCTTAGCCTCTCTGTGGTTTTTGTTCAGTTTTGAGACATTTGGACATGAACTGCACTCAGTTATTTATCATAAATTGCGACAACAACAACTAAACCTACATAAAGTCTCCTGCCCTTGACGACTGTTAAAATGCACACCGGTTTACCAGCTCATCGTCAACTTTACCTCACATGAGAAATGTTTCGCTTAACAATCACAGCCACTTACAAGTTTGCACTCAATACCAGAAGCTTTCTGGTGAACGATGAGACTGTAAGCCCTCCGTTCCTCAAACTCATGACGGCACGGATACGACGTTCCTGCAAATGTGACACTGATACTCAGGTCCTGGTTGGGGGCCCCCAGTGGGAGAAGCTCATATGCCGAGGGGTCCTGAGAGAGAGAGAGAGAGAGAGAGATGTTAGTGGTCAAAATATGGACGCAAAACCACAACTTTTAAAATAAAAAATCCCATTAATGACCCAAAACAGAGCAGTAAAGAGTTTTCCAACAGCAAATTAAACTGTTGAAGTGTTTCATATAATCGTGTCCATGGCGTCTCTGAATAAGAATAAATGAAACCACGACAAAATGAGATTAGAACAAATACAACTACAACCCAAAAGCCTAAGAATAAATATCCTTGCTTTTTACTATTAAGACTAACTAAAACAGTGAAATGGCTTTCCAGGCGCTTTTCGAGTTACCTGAAGTTTCCCGATGGGGTTTGGGAACAGGTCGCCGTCGCCGACCTTCACGCTGACGTCTCCGTTTGCCAGGTTGAAGACCTGCAGCAGACTCTGCTCGGCAGGCGCCGGCTCCACCACCGTTTTCTAGCAGACACGATCACAGTCCCAGCGGTGAACAGACAGAACGCCGCCGCATCGACACCCCACCGATTCGTCACCGTTTGACAGGCGAAACACATTCACAATCGGTTCCTTGTACAGAACAATGTCAGGGTGACGCGTCAAGAGTGAGATCCTGCGCTCAGACGTACCACGACATTGATCTCCACTAGGGTGGCTGCTCCAAAGGCGAGAGCCGCAAAGATCATCCCGGTGGCCATTTTCCTCAGAGGCCTGGAGGCAGAGCGACAGCGTCATGCACAATGAAAAAACAAGAGTCGATGGCTTTTAGTCAGCTATGAAGACCGACGTTGCAACGTTTTTCCTGCACAAACATTCCTCCCAACATTGGTCAATATTTCCGTTTTGATCCAAGGTGACATTTTTATTCAGCGTTCCGCAAAAATAAGAGTCCGGAAAGCTTCCCCCCCTTTTTCTCCTTACTCAAACTTTTGATTTTAAACTTTTGATTTCATCTTAAAGATTGTCCCACCGGTCTCCCACCTGTTGGTTTAATCGGCAGCTGAAGCTGAGCTGATGCTGCATCGCTCCTCGTCATTTATTTGTTCGTTTCGCAGAATCCTTGAATGTCACCCTGTCACAATTTTTTGCACACATCAAAATTCTGATGTAAACAAAAAAACTCCCAAAAAAGGATAGACTTCTACCACAGATGACGTAGTTTGCCATTATTTTTGTTTTTGTTAATCCAATAAGATTGCACTGGAAACAATTGAACCTCCATGTCTTTATAGTGCCATCACTCGTCCGGGTCAATCGCGAACGAGTGATGGCACCATAATACTATATATAATACTGTATTTGGCAGCTTTATGTCTCTTTCTTAAAAGCGGTTTATGACTTCGGTTCATCTGTTTGACCGTTTCTCTACGCTTTCAGGGAAAACGCAGCGCGCACTTTTCAAAGTCGCCTCGATGTTGATTTCACTCCCAGAAACAAAAAGTAAGATGTATCGCCACATTAGTTGAACAGCAATAA